ACCCACCACACACCTGCCACACACACCACATTCACCCAGCCAAATACCACACCCGCCCACAGAGCCACTTGCCTCACACACCCAGCTACACACCAGCCGCCACACCCTGTCGCCCACCACACACCCACCAAGCAACATCCACCAACCCAGCCACATGCCACACCCACTTAGCCACACATCACATTCATGCACACACCCAGCAGCACACCATGTGCACGCATGCTCCCAGCCACATGCCGCATGCACCCAGCCACACGCACCTAGCCACACGCCACACACTGCAAACACCTGGTGTGGCCAGGTGCCCCAATCAATGTGAACAGCGGGCCAGGGGGCAATCAGAGCCTGGTGGCTTGTGCAGGGGCATGGTGTGGGGAAGCTCAGGGGGGCAACGTGCTCCCCTCCCCCGGCTCCTCAACCACTGGAGAAGCCGCCAGGCTCCCATGCCCCCAGGACACGGCCTGTGCAGGGCTCCATTCTCCCGACTGTGCCCTGGGCAGGCCAGGTCATGGGACAACTGAAGCCCGGTGGCTCCCCCAGGGGTGTGTCGCAAGCAGAGGGGAGCATGTGCCACCCACTCTTTAGTTTCCCATTCTGCACATTGGTGGGACTCACCCACCCCTGCAGGGACACGCTGTCATGCAAGGACACGGTGTGGGGGAGCTCAGGCTTGAGGTGGGGCGGGGGGAAACATGTTCCCCTCCGTCAGCTCCCCCCAGTGCGAATAGTTGCGGGAGCTGCCCGGCTATGGCCCTAGAGAAGATATTGGACTCCCATTGTCCTAGGATCTGGTCTGGTCTGAGTGCAGCCCTCGCCCCTGTCAGGAACAGGCCAGCATCGTCCCAGCCCCAGCCCCAGTCCCAGTCCCCCATGGCCCTTCTAGAGGTGGTGGTGGCTGCTGTGACCCTACCCTACCCCGTCCCTGCTCCTCTACACACTCCCTGCTTCCCTCCCTGCCGGCTGCTGTCCAGGGAAAGTGCAGTGCGGTGCAGGCTCCCTGGCCTTTGACCACATCTGATCGCTCCCCTGAGCCCCGCCGCACAGTTGTGCCCGGGCCCCCTGGGCCAGCCAATCAGCACCCACCCTCTGGGTGGCACATGTGCAGTTGGCCCAGAGTGTTATGGACAGAAAGAGACACAGACACAGCTTTTATTTTATTAGAATTGATTTTTTGTTTGTTTGTTTGTTTATTAATAAGCTGACCTTCCCAACAAAGGCTCACCCTTTCAAACCTACATACACAACACCAAGACAGCATTGATATGAATTTTGGGCTTGGGTAGACCAACAAAGAGATATCCCTTTGTTGGAAGGATGGACAGCAGGATTGGAATCCATGTCTGGTAAAATCCCTGAAAAGCCAAGATAATCAGAAAGGGGTTGTCATTTTCCGATTTCCCATTCTTTGACTATTTGGTATAAAATGGGGACATGAACTGTTGTGCTCCTCTCTAATTACTGTCCATCTTCGCTTCTCTGCAGGGTTCACAGGGTTCAGGCTGGTGAACGGCAGCACACAGTGCTCAGGGAGAGTGGAGGTCCAGCTGCTCGGTGCCTGGGGCACCCTCTGCGACTCGCGCTGGGATTTATCAGATGCCAACGTTCTCTGTCGTCAGCTTGATTGTGGATTTGCAGTGTCAGCTCCAGGAGGAGGGCATTTTGGGAGAGGAACGGGGCCCGTCTGGAGAGACACATTCCACTGTAATGGGACTGAACCCCATTTATGGCACTGCCCGGTTACTGCCCTGGGAGTCTCTCAGTGTTTCCATGACCGTGATGTCAGTGTGATTTGCTCAGGTGAGCAGAGAAACAATGACTCTGGCCCCAAATAACACTGGTACAAGAATTTTCCACTCAACCGTTTTCCACTTCCCTCGCCTGTTTCATAGTGGAAGAATATCTAAGAGGACACTGCTTTTATATATATAGTCACTGCTTTTATATAGTCACTTCTGTTACGCTTTCTTAGTGTAATGGGGCAAGAGCCTATTACAGTGATAGTTATTACTTAGAGATGCTCCCTAATTTAGATGATTTGGTAATTGGGGCATGGTTTCTTAGTGAAATAGCTAGCCAGTTCAGTTACTCAGAGAGAGACATAGTCTACAGGGATTGCTTATTGTTCCAGAATATAATGTGCCGTGTAGTTCTTGTCATTCTCTGTGTATATTGGACCTTATGATCACTACTCCTGCATCATAGCTCTGTTGTCTTGGCCACAAGCATCACCCTCCTCTGTGAGACCACTTCTGCATTCTCTGCAGAGAGGGCAAGGAATGTACTGAATGGGGCAAAGCCGATGCATAGCCCTTTAGTAGAAGAACCTTCCCCTCTGCCACAAGAGTTACTTTATCTTCACTGAAAACTCCTGCTACCACCCACTACCCCGATGAGAGTCAAGACACCCTCACTCCTTCAGGCAGTTGCCATGGTTCATTCAGCAGGTGGTATCTTAAATTATACTTCGTAATGTGGCACACGGCAGCTGACTGGAGCTGCCCAGAGCTACCAGAAGCATGCAGGTGAACATACCCTTTAGCATCTTGGTGGCCATAAGTACTGTTCGCTGCTAGAATTTCTGGCAGCAGATGCAGAGGAGTGAAGCATATTTTTAGACACCGAGACACCTTCAATCAGCACCTTCAATCACCTGTTGGGATCTCACAGCAGAAGTCAAAGCTATAGTATCTTCTCTCTACCTTTCTCAGGCTATGTTTATATAATGGCAGGGAGACAGGGACTGTTACTGCTTTAATTAGGGCATCAAAGTTGCCTGGGCCATCTGGTGGCAGGGGTTTTCCTTTTGCTGGAGCTACACCCTCACCCCTGAAAACAGAAGCTCTGCAAGGAGAAAGCAGAAGCTGCATCCATACCAGGGGTTTTGCCAGCAGAGCTACTTCAGGTATAGGGTCTGATCTTTCCACACTCGCTGCCAAGACAGCTCTGATGGCTGACAAGCAAAAGTCCAGTGTTGTTCCTTCACCTCAAGGAATGCATTTACTCGGAGGTCATGGCTAACAACTCTCTGCCAGGGCTCTAACCTTGAGTATAAAAATTCTAATGAAGGATTTTCCTAAAATCCTTGTAACGGCAGTTCTTCTTCTTATCACTGTAGTTCTCTGAGTATTTGATAACCTATGTATTTTTATGCATACATACGTTCTGCACGTTATGTAATGGAAAATAGAAAGTGATGTTGAATTCATTTTCTCTCTCTCGTGAGGCCAGGTCGCTCTGAATCACTTATACTGTTGAATGGAGAGAGCTGGTGCGATGGGCAAGTCGAGATTTCCCTCGGTGGAACATGGAGCAGAGTCCTGGATGATCAATGGGACATGAATGATGCCAGCGTGGTGTGCAGGCAGCTCCAGTGTGGAGCTGCTGAGAAAGCCTATCACCCTGCAAAGTCTGAGCACAGGACAGGTCCTGTGAGGTTCAGAAGTGTCCAGTGTGCTGGACACGAGTTTAATCTGATGCTCTGTAACAACTCCCTGTCTGAGGCAATGCAGGCTGGCATAGCAGAAGACGTCAGTGTTGTTTGCTCAAGTGACTCCCCTGAAAATCCTACAAACACCTTCTTCTGTCAGGGGTACAGCCAGGATGTAAGCGGTCAGGGTCACAACCCAGGGGATCAGGAACAGACAGGTCAGGGAGCAAAGGACCGCAGTTGTCATGGGTCAGGAGCTATTTGTATGGAAGCTATTCAGTTATCATTAATTTGCCCATTAATTGCTGGGATTTCTCCTTACAGGAAGCAGGAGGATCAGACTGGTGAATGGGGCAGGTCACTGTGCTGGGAGAGTGGAGGTTTATTACCAGGGCATCTGGGGGACTGTCTGTGATGATTTCTGGGACTTGTCTGATGCCAGCATAGTTTGCCAACAGCTGGGATGTGGACATGCCATTGTGGCATCTGCCTCTGCTCGCTATGGGGAAGGCTCAGGGCAGATCTGGCTGGATGATGTGAAATGCACTGGGAATGAGTCGGAGCTCTGGGCATGTCCTTCCAGGAGCTGGGGCCAGCACAACTGCCGACACAAAGAGGATGCAGGAGTGCTCTGTTCAGGTCTGTTTTGTAACTGCTTACATGATCCTGGTTACTAGGGGTATACTGGAGTGGAGAGATGAGAATGATAGAGATCCTCTTTGACTGTCTATCTTTCTTTCTCACTTACCATCACATGAAAGTCATTATTAGAGTGCTGCTGAAGAGGAGTCAAATTTTTGAGGGGAGAAATAAGAATGATAGAGGTCTTCCCTTGATGCTTATTTCTTTTTCTTGTCTTCCCATTTATGAAAGTTATTATTAAAATGCTGCTTTTTCTCATAATTGCCCTGCATAGAGCTGGCCATGATCTTGGATTTCAGTGTGCATACTGCAGGTTTGATCAGAATCAGGTCAGTACAAGTTGTTTTTTTGCATTTCCTTCTAGAGTTCATGGATCTGAGGCTGGTGGATGGTGATGACTGTGCTGGACGGTTGGAAGTTTTCTACAATGGGACATGGGGAAGTGTTTGCTTCAGTCGAATGACTGATATCACCATTGAAATTATATGCAAGCAGCTCAGCTGTGGAGTTGGAGGGGCACTTGCAAGAGCATTTGCCTATGGAGCAGGTTCTGGTCCCACATGGCTGGACCACATTGAGTGCTGTGAGCATCACGGTTCCCTTTGGCAGTGCCCATAAGAGCCATGGGATCTTCAGTCGTGCGATGACCGGGTAGAAGAGACCCACATTTCTTGCAGTGGTAACTCTAAAAGAATCTTTAAACACACATACAAGCCCAGATGATACACCAACACCCTCAGATGTACAACTGCACCTGCACACATGTGCTCACGTTCACTGAGGCACTGAGGTAGAGAAATATTGCATGCTACAGTGAGGGAGTGCACTGCTGCAGCAAAATAGCTGTTGGTCATGTGTAGATGGACATGATCTCTTCGTCAGTATAGCACGTCACTAAGGCGACTTACCATCGCATGTAAACTTGCCTACAGTGGAGGGGTTATAGAGTCTACATCATTTTTCATAAAACCCAGTAATTAGTCCACTCACGGCAGTATTTATTTCTATAGGAGGAAAAGAAAACAGTACACAAAACTCATTTGCTGCATGCTCATCCTCTACAAACTGCACAGGTATCAGTGCTTCTCTGTATCTCTTCTCAAATTCTAACGACCTTCCCAGCTGTCCCAGTAACATGTGAGGTTTCTGCCTTTCCCAGACAAGGAAAAGCTCTGCGTTGTGCAGGGAAAGGACGGATGTTCAGGTAGAGTGGAGGTTTGGCATCGCGGCTCCTGGGGAACAGTGTGTGATGACTCCTGGGACATGGCAGATGCAGAAGTCGTGTGTAAACAACTGGGCTGTGGACCTGCTGTGTCTGCCCTGGGTGGAGCAGCATTCGGGGAAGGGACTGGCCCCATCTGTCTGGAGAAGTTGGACTGTCGAGGGACAGAGTCATCTCTGTGGCACTGTCCTGCGAAGCACTGGGAGGACGGTAACTGCCACCATAAAGAAGATGCTGCTGTGAATTGCTCTGGTGAGTACAAGCCTCACTCGACAGGTTGGAAAGATTCAGTTAGGAAAGCTTCCTGCAGAGATGGTATGTGAGGCTAGAAACAGATATTGTCAGTGGAGCGTGATTGGCTGTGCTGTGATAGGTTGTGGCACAACTGATTGACATCTACTGATATGCCTGGTTCCCCCTCTGCTTCTGCAGGCCTGCATGGGGAAACCCTTTAGCAGGGCACTTGTTCACCTGTGTCGGCAAGTGCAATGGTGAGGGGGAGCTCCCAAAACAGGTCCCTACTCCATGTTGCAGCCTGTGCATCACACTGCTGTCAGGAATGGGGTGCTAACAATGTAGAAGGTGCCCCCCCTCAGGAATCTCCTCCCCCCAGGACTCCATGCTTGCAGGGCATGTGGGGAAATCCCCTGCAGAGGGATTTTCCTGAACCCTGCACAGGGTGCATGTTTGCAAGTGATGTCCCTGGAGGGATGCATCTGGTTAAGCTGGGAAAGCAAGGCCGGTGTTTCTAAGACTTGAGGGGCCAATCCTGCCTGGGAATTCCTGGGGTGTGAAGGATCAGCCCCCTCCATCCTGAGGAGTACCTGCCTCAGGGAGCCAGGAGTGCCTGGGTAGGTTTATGCTGCCTGAGCACTTCTGCCGTAAGCAAACATACCGGGGCTGTTATAAAGCCACCTGATCTATTACTACTTACTGTTGTGCCACAAACTTCAGCATTTGTGGTGTGACAGAGGATATGGACAACTGTTTGCTTTCACTTTGTGCTGATATGGAAATTTGGATAGCGGTAGAAAGGTGTCAGCAATTTCCAGGCTGAGATTGCTTGCTTGATGGTGGTCTATACCTGCAGAGCATGAGCAACTGTTAGAACTACCTAAGGAGGCTCCCAATATGGCTGGGAAGGATCAGGTAGGAGTGGACTAGCCATTAGCTGGGATAGCAGAATTATAACAAACTAGATTATAGTTCACAGAGATTTTTAGAGCAAAAATAATTTAGGTGGCAGATATTACCTATTCAGGAAATTCACCTATGTAACTAACTGCGTTAGCTAATGATTAGCCTAACCGTGTATATGTACTTGTATATAAGATGCATAATGGTGGAAAACTTTAAATCTGTTGTCCTTGCACACATCCCACTGTCAGGCAGCCTTATCACCTGGGCATAGTCAATAAAGCTAATCTAGTTATTTGCACTGTGGATCTCTGTTCAATCCGTTATGCAGCAAGAGCTGGCAGCCCCTCGGCAGCAGTAACAGTGAGTGACAGGGTAGTTAGAAAGCTTGGAGCTTTCTGTGGAGGGGTGTTGGATACCCCTCCCTAACCACATAGCAGTCCCCCATTCCTTGGCCACAGGAACGGATGGCGAGGGGAGTAACCTTGGAGGGCCCAGATGTGCTCATGTGTCAGCCCATGGAGACCATGCTGTCATCTGAGGCTCCGGTGTTCTAGTTTATTACTGTTGTCTCCACTGCTCCTAAAGCACAGGGGGACTTCTTTCCTCAGTTAGCCTGGAAATGTCCCTGCACTGCTTAAGGGAGAATGTATATGTGATGTGCCAGTTCCACCTGCAGCCGCACAGGGGGACGATCCCTTTGGTAGTTAATGCTTTACCTCTCCCATCTTTCAGACTCCAACCCTTCTTCATTGTCCCTTTGCAGATGCAACAGGAATGGCAACTTCCCTGAAGGGAACAGGTAAAGTGCCCCCTTCCAATAAGTGCTGCATTCTCCTGAGAGATGAGCTGTAACCTGTGCTCTGGGAGAAGGAGCTTCTTGACCGAAAGTCTTTTATGTATGAGGCAATGGCATCTGGGGTGGGTCCTGCAGGGCACGCCGACTGATAGGCTTTCCTGCTCAGTGGCTTTTTGCTGATGTGCCTGGGCTCCTGACTCTCACTCTAGCATGTGAGTTCCTCTCCTGTTTCTCAGTATTTGACCTTCTGGCCACATACGGTAAAATAAAAACTGGAGATTCATTTGTCTTTCAGAGAAGAGTCTCTTCTGCTCCTATGTTTGTTTCCTTTCAGATCCCCCTGCCACGTACAATGGGGGAGACATGGTGCCCATTGTCATCTGCATTATTCTGGGGGTCCTTCTCTGCTTGGTCCTAATCATTGTGGCTGGGCAGGTGTAAAATGCCAGAGCACAGTAGAAAGCTGTGTCCCAGTGGGTTTAAATGATATAGGAATACCTCTTTGAAGTTGCAGGGAGAGTTGTGGAGTATGAGAAGGAAGAGGGAAATAGTGGAAAAGCCCCTAGAAAGGAGTGTTCAACCCTTAGCCTGTGGGCCAGATCCAGCCCACAGTGCTCTGCCGTCCAACCTGTTGGGTTCCCAAACGATCCTGTGGATAGACTTGCTGATTGTGGCTCTGACTGCTAGATCGGGCATGCAGGGTGGGGCAGGGTCTGATTCCAGTGTGTGAGGCCCGGGGGTGGGGAGCATGGAGCCCTGGCAGCCTGATTCTAGGTGGACAGTGTGGCACAGATCCCTTCATCATCTCCACCATGCTAGGATTGGGCTCTGCCGCTCCTCCCTTCACCACTGCCCATATCTGGCCAGCATTGGACTCTTACTGGGCAGAGGCACCATGGAGCCCCAGGCCAGATCTTGGTGTAAAGGGCTGGCACAGGGCATGCTCCAGCCTGCAAAGTGGAGCCATGCTATTCATCAGGCCAATGAAGCCAAACATGTGAACAATAATGACCTAGAACGATTGGATATACTGTGGAAAATGTTGAGACTATAGATATGTGAAGAATAGGGTGGCCATTCTGCCAGTTTTATAGAGGGCAGCCCAGTTTTCTGTTACTCTGTCCTCTTTCCTATTGATATGAAACTGGATCTCTTAATGTCCTCTATTTTCCTCTGCAGACTTCCACCAGTCTGACATAAAGGCATACGGTTTCATATCAATAGGACAGAGGACACAGTAGCAGAAAACTGGGCTGTCCTCTATAAAACTGGATGAATGGCAGCCCTAGTGAAGAACAGTTGTGAGCAAGAGTGGATAATGCATTATACTCACTGGAGGATTGAGACTTACAGACAAATGTATGTTCAACTACAACAACATTATAAAGCAGAGAAATAAGTGTTGTTACTTCTGAAATGTAAACTTCGTGTTGGGAGAGGAATTATTGAAGGTGCTGTGTGGGCAATAATGTGCAGTAATGAAATGAAAGGAAAATGGACATTTTAGGAGGAGAGATTTTGTGATGATGGAACAGATAAGGAAACATCTCCAAAGAGAAGGTTTTAAAGGGGACACGTTAGTTGTCTAGACTGAGTTATTTTCTGGCATGAAAATGAAGCAGACCTGCTGATAGTCCCACACTGATTTGAAGGTTTAATAATGTTTCCCACCTCCTGTTCTAATTACCGCTTACTCTTTGCTTTCAGGGTCCAGAAACGTCAAGCAGCCCTTCTCTGAGGTTGTGTATGAAGAGATTGACTACAACCCAGTGAAGGAGAAGTAGGAATTATTTGTTCATTCAGGTCTGTGCAATGCATTCCTAACAGAGAGTCACTGTCTAATTCACTTCCCATCCTGAGATCTTGAACTAGACCTAATTAAGTGTAGTTTTGCACTGGGCTGAATGCCGCCAGCACTGGTTCTGTGATGAGACCAGTGAACTTCTGTCAGTGAAAACCCCACCCTGCTTATGAACCAAAATGTTGCTAGTCCCAGCTTCTGGGACAACTTCTGTCACATTGCCCATGCTGCAGTTATCTTGGGCACTGACTTCCCCTGCCCTCGAGAACCCCAGTGCCTCTCCCTCCAATCTCCTCAACTCATTGAAGTTGGCTCTCTTGAAGTCTAGGGCTACCGCCTTGCTGCAGGCCCTTGACACCCTGCATTGGATGATGAATTCCAGCAAGCGATGATCGCTGTCACCCAGGTGGTCAAGGACCTGGAGCCCCCTCTGTATGACAGAGGACAGAGATGAAAGAGTATAAACAGACATCATGAAGTGAGGTGGATCAGCTGGGACAATACGTGCCTTACCAGCTGATCTGCTTCAATGGGTAAAATAAATGTTGCCCATTGTCCTGAATTGATCAGGGCCTGATCCTGTGGGGCAACAGGTGACTTGTTCCCTGATTACAGAGCTGTCTCAGAGATTCCCCACAGCACATCCATGTAAAGGAGGGAGCTGAGGTTGCCCATTTACACAGGAGTGCATCAGAGACTGCCCTGTAAGAGAGGAAAGCTAGGCAGGTGCTCTGGGGCCTTGAGGGAACTGATCCTGCAAGATAATTCCCAGGCTGTGCAGGATTCAGCCTCTTAAGTCCCAAGAGTGCTAGCCTTGGGCAGCTGAAGAGTATGGGTCATTGTGGGTTTTCTGTGCTTTTGTGCATAAAACCATCAGATGCCCACTGCAATAAAATGGCAGAAAACCTTTCCGTATTTATTGCAGCCACAAAGTTTGGGCATTTGTGGTGTGACAAGGGGTATGAATTCCTGTTTGCTTGGCCTTTGTGCCTCCATAAGAATTTGACATCCTAAGAAACAGAAAAGACATGCTGTGCTCCAAGTCAGGAGAGGGGCACATTGTCCAACAGTAGGTCTTTGGCAGTTGAAATACTTTGCAGTTTCCACAAATCTGGATTTTTCCTGGATAAGTTCATTTTCTGTTGGGAACTCTGAAATGAAGCTACAGCTCTCTGGCTCTTCCTGGGTTGCCCTGGAAAAAAGGGCTTCTATGAATTACAGGCTCCTGGCTCCCAGAGCCGTTGGGACTCTGGAGGTGGCTGATTGCCCAGGCTGCCAAACTCCCACAGGGGTCAGCTCTCCAGAGAGTTGGGATACCTGGGAAATCACATGTCCAGCAAGTCAGGGATCCTAGGAAAATGGCAAACCAGTTGTGTAGCTCCCTGCACTACATACCTTGCAGACAGGGAGAAAATCTGAGTATGCCAAAATCCTCTACCTTCCTATATGATTTTATTTCTGCATTATATTTTGTTATTTGATTGCTTAGAGTCAAGTTGCTTAAAAATGCTGTTT